ATACATTTATCATGTCGAGTTCACACGATATCAGGGATTGGCTGAGGGCTCTCGACCAATCAGAATTGAGATACTTAGTAAAATGTATAATAATAATTTTTATCCAGTTTTGAAATAATCCTTCCATACAAATCTCTCTATTGGATGGCCTTTTTTAAAGGGCCAGGAAAAGTATGAATAATTAGATTGTCCGCCATTTTGTCCCTGATTTCTGGTAATGATATGACAGGAAACTCAGGAAGAACTTAGAACTTGAGTGAAATTGCATACCCTGTTTATGACAAGCTTGAAAAACCATACCCTGTTCAGCGGATCATGCTCATATAGTCCATATATGGGAGTACCCCCCCCCCCCGGTTGTCACGTTTGAAAACATTCTAAATTTCAAAAGRCGATTGCTGCCATTCATCTCACTTCCCTTAGTTACTGTTGCTATATATACACGCTAAGAATTTAAAATTAGTGGCAAGGGTAAAAAATCAAATTTGCTCTCCTTTTGAGGATAGGCCTTTATTAGATATGAATTCTCTGTACTTATTTTTCAAAAAACGTACAGAGGAGAGTTTCGACTGGTCACTTTGACCACTCTTGAGGGTCTTTTGCTTGGGACTCTGGTCGAAACTCTTTTTCTTGCCGTTTTCTCGAAAATAAAAAGATATGTATTTTCGACTGAAAGAATTACACAGCGATTCTCCTATAGTGTAGCTATCATACTGTTGTTTTAGGAGATAACCGATTAAAGATTAAAGGTATCTAATAAAAATTAAATAAAGATTAAAGGTATCTAATAAAGATTAAATAAAGATTAAAGGTATCTAATAAAGGCATAAAGATATCTAATAAAGGCCTATCTTCAAAAGGAACGGAGATTTTGATTTTTTGACTCTTACCACTATTAGTAATTCATTCTTGTGGACATTGCCTCTTAAAACCCTCGGGGGTAACTCCAGGGTAAATGTGTCGGATAAGCTCGTCGTATCTCTTAGGGGTAACAATCAGCGATTTGGGTGTTAAAATGGAAATTTAGAATTTTGACATTTCTTGGTATCTTGTAGGGTATCTCTTAGGGGTAAAACCAAGCTCTTTTTAAAGGAATTCCGATATTTTTTTAGGTATTTTTGAGAATTTCCGATGAGCATATCCCATACTTTTACCCTTGAGTCAACCCCGTGCTTAAAACTTTGGTTGTGGTAAATGGATTATAAATTGTTTCACTTGTCTAGTGAAAATAAGATCTCTTCAAAACAGATACTGTGTAGATACTGACAAGCTTTTAGTTAAGCCTAAAACTGCTGCAATTGAAACATCTTGGAAGTATATAAACCTTGATATCTCCAAGATGTATTATTCAACTTGACAAAAATAATTCAAAGGATTTTAGTTTTCCAGGAGTTGGTGTCAAAGAAATAACATTTTCAAAACGCTTTGCAGGACCCTAGAAAAACATTTTGAAATTCCAGGACTTTTCCGTGAATTCCAGGAGAATTGCAAACCCTGACAGCGAACAGTGACCATTGACTCTCAAAGTTTGCAAGAGCAGAAGTAATTATACTAAAACGTTTTTTTTTTACCCTGAATTTCTCCTCTTTTGATATTCAAGTCTAAAATTATGCTAAAACAATAATTCACCTCAAGCTTATTGAATATGGGAAAAATTTACCTCAATGGCCGTGCACTCAAAGACTTGCGGCTTGGTAAATATAGTCCCCGATGTTTACTTTGCCTTTGGCAAATAATTGTTTAATATATACTTACTTTTAATGGAACATCAGTAGCTGTATCAAATGTATTTGCAGCACGGTTGAATTCAATGGTAGTGTATCCATCAGCTTCTGTAGCATTGGTCAGGACCAGGGACTGTAAGTTATCACGGTCAGGCTTGCTTTGCACCGAAGAGTAGTAGTCCTGCAATAATAGAAACCAAGCAGTTCTAGAATAAATAGTCCTCAAAGTGGAATATCACGCTGTCATGACACAAAGACAAAGATTGTATTAATATTCTTACACGGTTTCCCGATGGGGTGTTAACATCATAATGCATTATGATATAAGCTGCAGAATTTAAAACTTGCGTAAATACAATTGCTTAGCCATAGCGTTTTGTGGAAAAAATTTTTTTAACTTGAGTTTGTGCAACACTTATGTCTCTGATACAATAGAAGATAAGGAAGACCAAATAAGTTAGTTTGTAAGTTTTGCATCTCATTTGATATCTTGCATCTCATTAGATATATGTATAAATGTATACTATAACCTTTCTGCAATCAAGAGTATATATATATATATATATATGTATATATTTAAGGAATATAAAACGGCACGTGTGTCTATATACTGTGGTATAAACATGATGGGAGCTGCAGAGCAAGAGAGAAGTCGTAGAAAAACACAAGGAGTACACGAGCGGACATTTTATATCGCTTTTATAAAATATTTTTGAATGATTTCACCCAATCATGTCTCTGTCCTCTGATACAAACATGGTATATTATTACTTAAAACATGATTAAATGCTTAGCTATTGTTATCGTGTACTCTTGCCTGTTTAAGGTAGGGATGTGCTGCTGAGCCCTCTGAACCCTGACCCTGTTCCAGAGTTAAATCGTTGAAATTCATACCCTGTTCCAGAGCAAGATCGCTGAAAACCATGCTGCATAGATATACAGTATGGTAAATCATAAGTATAGATACCCTGTTCCAGAGAGGAGAGAGTGTGATTTCATATACCCTGTTCCAGAGCGAGCACGATTTTGTATACCCTGTTCCAGAGTAGAATCACTGAAAACCATACCCTGTTTGGCAACACGTACGCGTATAGCGAATATAGTGGAGTACCCCCCCCAGAACCTTTATTGCCTTGCTTAAAACATATAATAGACCTATTAATTCACTGTTTTCCCATTTCAGACCACGTGTCATTCCCAAGAGTATCATTTCTTTGTGTATCGATAGCACATGAGAAGACACATGAATATGGATACAACTCATACAAAGAATCTTTTTCTCGAGAGAATAACATGTGGCAAAACATTACGCCCAAGTGAATTAATAGGTCCATTTTACAAGGAATTGTTTTATTTTTATTCCACTTCCGGTTACAGCCATATCTGTTATATCGAGGCCGTATTTTGTCAAATATTAATCTTGAGGTCATGTAGCACGAAAACGAGAATGGTGACCCCCTTGTCCTTCGATTGCACATTACGTCATCGCGGCCTCTCGGGAGAGTGTTGGTGCCATTTAACAAAAAGATTTCTCATTAGCATCCATTGTTAAGGGCACCACAATGGCCGCCATGCTTTTGTCTTTTAACTCTCTTGGGAATGCTTGCAACCCAACAATTATTGCATATTTGAAACGTCCATGGTACAATGAACGACTGTATGCAAAGTTTGGAGAAAATGACATTTCTCCTCCTATTTCAAGGAAGTAACCGAGCATTTCAATCCAACATCAAAAGCTTTTCGAAACGTACGCGTTTAAGGTAAGGGAACGGTCATTAATTATTGGGGGGGGAGGGCCGGTAAATTTATGGGGAGGGCTGCGATTTTTTGGGCCCTCCATTAGGGAGGGCCAAAAAATTTTGGGCGCATGCTAGAGGGAGGGTCGCAATTTTCTGGGCCCCNCCCGTGCTTAAAACTTCGGTTGTGGTAAATGGATCATAAATCATGTGTCCAGTGAAAATAAGATCTCTTCAAAACAGATACTGTGTAGATACTGACAAGCTTTTAGTTAAGCCTAAAACTGCTGCAATTGAAACATCTTGGAAGTATATAAACCTTGATATCTCCAAGATGTATTATTCAACTTGACAAAAATAATTCAAAGGATTTTAGTTTTCCAGGAGTTGGTGTCAAAGAAATAACATTTTCAAAACGCTTTGCAGGACCCTAGAAAAACATTTTGAAATTCCAGGACTTTTCCGTGAATTCCAGGAGAATTGCAAACCCTGACAGCGAACAGTGACCATTGACTCTCAAAGTTTGCAAGAGCAGAAGTAATTATACTAAAACGTTTTTTTTTTACCCTGAATTTCTCCTCTTTTGATATTCAAGTCTAAAATTATGCTAAAACAATAATTCACCTCAAGCTTATTGAATATGGGAAAAATTTACCTCAATGGCCGTGCACTCAAAGACTTGCGGCTTGGTAAATATAGTCCCCGATGTTTACTTTGCCTTTGGCAAATAATTGTTTAATATATACTTACTTTTAATGGAACATCAGTAGCTGTATCAAATGTATTTGCAGCACGGTTGAATTCAATGGTAGTGTATCCATCAGCTTCTGTAGCATTGGTCAGGACCAGGGACTGTAAGTTATCACGGTCAGGCTTGCTTTGCACCGAAGAGTAGTAGTCCTGCAATAATAGAAACCAAGCAGTTCTAGAATAAATAGTCCTCAAAGTGCAATTTTGTCAAGCGCTGTCATGACACAAAGACAAAGATTGTATTAATTCTTACACAGTTTCCTGGGGTGCGAACATATGGAGATGGATGAGTTATACTAAGGTTATGGAATTCTAAATAGACCCGAGAAAGCAATATCATATCCAAAAGCCAGATTTCACCAACCAAAAAAGGTTTCTATCCATAWGTAATAACTTTTAATTAGTCTTAGTTCCTATGAAATATATGCCACAAGTTAAATTTTGTCTGCTGCAATTACTGTAAGTCAATTGCAGAGTATCTAGGATAAGAAATCTTGGTTTTACCACTCTTTTCACCACACATGCTACGCCCTGATTGGGACAACAGTTGCAACAAGGAAATAGGGCAATACACTGCCGCCAATCAGAGAACATAAAGGTACTGTATGGTAAATTTATTTGACTGATGGAAGTGTATTGGCCAATTTTCCTGTTGCAAAAACAAACAAAGTTTATCATATATATATATATCATGGAAAAGATTGCTGTATATCAAGCCTAAGCTTAAATATCAGTTATTTACCTTTCTGTATACTTTTAATTACAATTTTTCCTCAATCTATCCAAATTTTAAAACTTCTTGGAATTTAGATATACCCTAAAAGCAGATGTTAAGTCTCCTTTTAGGTCAAAGAATGTTGAGTGCTCGCTGGTTATACAGTATTTTAAAGATATGGTTGCTCTCAATTCCATCAGTCATGCCTTGTTTCTCATATATTATAAGCTAATTACATGCTAACAAACTCACATCCGATTTAATACTATAAAGAAGCCAAAAGTGTACACCGCTAGCATAGCTTAGCATAGCTCTAGTTTTCAAAATTTAAGCTTTAGTAAAAAAATGTATAACTTATTAGAGATAAACTAATTAATATGTGAAGGGGAAAAGGTTGAACTTTATATCCATGCCGAATCGGTGTTAAATGCATGCATAACTTAATATCAAAATATGAAATGCTCGGTTTATATTTGAAATCCTTACCCCGATGTATGATTCGTTGCCGTTTCTCACTCCTCCTAATGCAATGTCGTACTGCTGCATATGTCTTCCTGATGTAGTTTGCGACCAACCCAAAGCCGCCCAACCTGTTGTCTTTGCAACGAATTTGAAGTAAAATCTTGGAAAGAACGGATCGGTAGTATTGGCTGACCAGTACACGTCAAATACATTGGATTTGAGACTAAGGTGATGTTCATACTCTCTACTCTCCGTAGCGAGCAGCACCGCTGAAATCAACAAAATAACGAGCACTTTCATCATGGAAGGTTCTTGGAACGAGCGCCTTCTGGTTATTAATAAGGTAAATATTAACTGATAAAATATGCATAAGTCGATTACTATGACGTCATATATTGTGGCGCTTTCATTTGCATTTGTTTATTTATTCGTGAAAACCCAAATTTCATAACTCCAATCCACATTTRAACAACACTTATTAGTTAAAGAAAAATAAAATTTATTGGTTCCCTAAAAAGCATATTTTTAATTTCAAAGAAACAAACTCATTTCAAAACGGTACCGATTCTAGATGAACGGTTTTTGTCACTTCAGTGTYGTATAAGTTCTGATGCACATCTGTCAATCACGTGTCAATTCACTTGAGCGAGTGAAAAGGTGATTGAAACCACATAAAAATTTCAAGCCTTGGTTGGCTGTGAAGTTTTCATACTTCCTATGTGTTATCTAGTGTACCCTCGAGAAGAATGCAGTTTCGCGCTCACTCGATCAAGCGAATATTCGAAACATGTGCATTCTAAATTTAGCTTTATAATATAATACATTGCTCTATAGAAGAGCGGATTTGGGGAGAGGGGGTGGGGAGCTTTTTTTTTTTTTTTT